CCTTTTGAGTATTCGCTAAGAGATTGGTGTAGATGTATTTGTTTTATTGGTCGATGAATCTAGTGATGTCTCAAGAAAGGAACAAATAACTATTGTTTTGTGATATGTTGATAGTCTTGGCTTTGTGAAAGAAAGATTCATAGGCATTGTGCACGTGAATGATATATCCTCTTTGTCACTCAAAAATGTCATAAATGAATTACTCACAAACAACGAGTTGAGTTTTAGTGAGGTAACTTTTTTTTTTTTTATTTCAGTTTAATTTAATTTGCTTTATGTGTAATATTATATATATAATATTTTTTAATTTTTTTAATAGATAAGAAGATAAGGTTATGATGAGGCTAACAATATGCGAGGGGAATTCAATGGTTTGAATGCTTTGATATTACAAGAGAAAGAGAATGACATAGTTTTTTATATACATTGCTTTGCACACCAACTTCAATTAGTGGTTGTGGCTGTAGCAAAGAAGCATGGAAGTGTTAGTGACTTTTTTGAACAAATTTCGTTGGTGGTTAATGTTGTTTGTGCCTTGTGTAAAATAAAAGACTTACTAGGGGAACAAGCAAGAGAAATGGTACAAAAAGGCTTATGTAGTGGTGAACTTGAAATCGAGAGATGGTTAAATCAAGAGACTACATTTGTTCAAGCGGGAGATACAAGATGAGGTTCACATTTCAACACGCTCACAAGTTTAATGAAGTTGTTTGCAGATGTTCTTGTAGTTTTAGAATTTTGTGAAAGTTGATAGAGGGTCATTGACAAACCGTCAACAAGCATCCGGAAGCTTAGCATATTTTAAATCTTATGAGTTCGTGTTTTACTTATATATGATGTATGATATGTTATGCCTCACAGGTACATTATCAAAGCAACTTCAAAAAAAAGATCTAGACATTTTAGAAGCACCTTCTGTTGTTAGAGGGACAATAGACGCATTGCAATCTTTAAGAGACAAGGTTTGCTAGCATTTTGCCAAAGATATCCTCTTTTTGTCAAACACACAATATTACTACTTTGGAAATTGAGGATTTTTATGTTGTTGCGAGAAACCGTACGACCACAAAGACCAATAGATTTCATTTTGAGGTTGAAATCTTCAACATGGTGGTGGATATGCAACTTACAGAATATTGGGATCAATTTAGTAAAACAAACACCCAGTTACTAGAATACATGGGTGCTTTGAGCCTTTGTGATTCATTATTTGATAAATCAAATTTGTTGAAGTTGGCTAAGTTGTACAAATATGACTTTGATGATTCGGATTTGATAGATCTTGAAGGACAACTTGAAATATTTTATTACTCTTGCATCAAAGATGAGCGTTTTACCACTTTGAAAGGAATTTTCGAGCTTTCTCATTTGATGGTTAGTACGGGGAAACATCGGTCTTATCATTTAGTTTATAAACTTTTGAAGTTGGCTTTAACTTTACTCGTAGCGACCGCAAGTGTGGAAAGATGTTTTTCGAAGATGAAACTCTTAAAGACCGACTTGCGCAACAAAATTAGCGTTGACTTTTTGAACGACGAGTTACTTTGGAATGTTGAGACCGACGCATTTGTGAAAGTTGAGAATGAAAAACTAATAGAGCAGTTTCAAATGATGTCCACACGAAGATGAAAAATTTAAATTGTAGTAGATAATTATGTTTTTAGCTTTTTATGTAATTAATCGTTTTTTGTATTACACGTAATGAATTATTTTTCAGTTCTAAATTATGTTTGATCGGGGTTTTTTTTTGGCAATCTCTACTATCAATTCATGCGTCCGCCCCTAGTAAATTCATGCGTCCGCTCCTAGTAGAGAGAGAATATTGTAAGCTTTTGGCGTCTCCGTCTTAGTCACCTTCCCTCTCTACCTCCTCCTTGTCGTGTCCAACCAGCCCATGTCTTCCTCACTCCCTTCAACCTTTGGTGCATGATAGTTGCTTTCAACATTAATTGTTTGGTATCATACCAAAGTGGCAAATTTGTGAAATATGATATTGTTAAAAACGTATCAACATTATAATGCGTCAAAATTCCAACAACCATAAATTTTCGGTATAATTCAAAAGTATAATGCGTCAAAATTATTGTTCTTTATTGTATGTGTGGCAATTAATTAATCATCTTGAGTCCATCCACTAAGACTAATTAATTGGTTAGAATCCACATGTATATCAAAATACATTAATTTTTTTTTCTTGTAAATTAATATTGTCGTTAAAAAGCAATAAAAATAAATCGTAGAAGTACTTTTTTTTTGTTAGCGAACAATTAATTTTTGCCTTTCTTATCATCATATAGTATATTTTTTTTTTCTTTTGCCAATTACCTCGGTCTACAAGAAACACATATTAGTTCACCAAAGTTAGGAAACCCAGTATACCAATAACTCAATAAGCATGGATTTAGCCTACCCAACTTTCCTAACCCCCAACATTTCATCTTCTTACATTTCTCACCCAAACTTGCTTCAGTTTCCATAACTTCAACCCTCCAACTCAAAAATGGCATCTTGCTTCCACAGCCCAAACATCGAAGATGATACTGCCGCCCTATTCACCGCCTCCGACAACTCCCCGGAGCAATCCACCACCCCCTCCTCCTCCTCTCGCCATTCACCACCACCACCACCTTACCCTTCCAAACCATCCTACAAACTCACCGTCAAAAACCTCTCCTACACCATCAAATCAAGCCACCAATTCACACTTCCATGGCTCCTAAACAAGCCAAAACGAATCAATATCCTCAAATCAGTATCCTTCATAGCACAAAGCTCAGAGATCATGGCGATTGTGGGGCCAAGTGGGAGCGGGAAGTCGAGTTTGCTTCATTTTATCTCGGGGCGTGTTCATGACAACACTTTGGATCCCAAAACCACCATTTCACTCAACGATTTCCCAATCACGAGCCCTTCGCAGATGAAGAAGATATGCGGGTTTGTGGCACAAGAAGATAACTTGCTTCCTTTGCTAACCGTAAAGGAAACATTAATGTATAGTGCTAAGTTTCAGCTAACTGAAATGAGCTCAAAAGAGAAGGAACATCGAGTCGAGTGTCTAATCCATGAGCTTGGCTTGGTTCACGTTTGTGATAGTTTCGTAGGAGATGAAAACGATCGAGGGATATCAGGAGGAGAGAGGAAACGGGTGTCAATTGGTGTCGACATGATTCCCGATCCTCCAATTCTACTCCTTGACGAACCTACGTCAGGTTTGGATAGCAGCTCGGCCCTTCAAGTGATCGAGCTGCTATCCAACATGGCAACATCAAAACAACGAACCATCATTTTATCAATCCATCAACCGAGTTACCGAGTCCTTCAATACATTTCCAACTTCCTAATCCTCTCCGACGGATCTGTAATCCATAATGGCTCCCTCGAATCACTCGAGGGAACCATTAACCAGCTGGGATTCGAAATCCCAGCTCAACTCAACGCGCTTGAATTCTCCATGGAAATCAAAGAAACCCTAGAAACATCATACAACTCAAAAGAACCGGTTGCCACGTTTCAAGAACTTATCGAACCCTCTTTCGCGACAGTATGGGCCGAACAAACAAACGGTACGTTTCAAGAGCTTTTACGAAGAGATCAATCAGTCCAGCCAAAAGCTCGATATAATGAAATTCTGATTCTTTGCACGAGATTTTGGAAAACTATATACAGAACAAAACAACTTTTCTTAGCAAGAACGATGCAAGCAGTTGTGGGAGGGCTCGGTTTAGGTAGCGTGTATGTAAAGGTCGAGAATAACGAAAATGGTATCGCAGAAAGATTAGGACTTTTTGCTTTTAGTCTTAGCTTCCTTCTCTCTTCAACAGTTGAAGCCCTACCGATATATCTTCAAGAACGTAGAGTTTTAATGAAAGAAGCATCGAGAGGAGCCTACAAGACTTCATCTTACATGATCGCCAACACCATCGTGTTCCTCCCGTTTCTTTTTATAATCGGCCTCCTCTTTTCGATTCCTGTATATTGGCTAGTGGGACTTGACCCTTCGGCGACTGCATTTGCGTTTTTCGTGTTTGTGGTGTGGCTAATCGTGCTAATGGCTAGTTCGTTGGTTCTCTTTCTGAGTGCAGTTTCTCCTGATTTCATCTCCGGGAACTCGTTGATTTCCACTGTTCTTGGTGCGTTTTTTCTGTTTTCAGGGTATTTTATACCGAAAGAAGTGATACCGAAGTATTGGATGTTTATGTATTATGTGTCGTTGTATCGGTATCCATTGGACTCCTGGTTGGTGAACGAGTATTGGGGCCGGAGGGAGGTTTGTTTTTCCGGTGAGGGTAGTGGTTCGACGTGCTTGATGACTGGAGACGATATCTTGAAGGGGAGAGGGCTTGAGTGGGATACACGATGGATGAATGTAGGCGTGATGTTTGGGTTCTTTGTGTTTTATAGGGTACTTTGTTGGATCATTCTTGCACGAAAGGTTTCGAACACAACAATATGACTTTGTTTTTTTTTATATATACAAAGAAATGTAGTAAGATTTTGGTAAATCGTGTTGTTACTTGGTATGTGTTTGGTTTGAAGCAATATAAATCAATTAAAGACGTTATTTCTAAATGTTTATTATTAAACCACCATATTTTAACAATAATAATGATTGTAAATGTTGTTGATATTGTGTATTATAGTGTTACAAGAGTCAAGATTTTGCAAAATCGTTTTATCTTATATTTTTTAACATTTAACAAAATTGTGATCGTAAAATCAAATAAGATCAAAAGATCCTATAAAAATAAATTGATCTTCAAATTTGTTCGCTAGGTTGTGTTTATAAATTATCTATTATAACTTAATGTTGATTAAGACATCGATGATTAACTTCGATCTTAAATATGAACCATAATTTTTTTAGCTACAAACCAATAACGTTAAAAAGAAAACATATTAAACAGAATAATAAACAATATCATAGTGATCACCTATAACTAAAGACATAAGATCACAAAGAGAATAACATAACAAGAGTGTTACGATGTTTATTTGAAATGAATAGATTAAGGGGTGATGTTGTATGAGATTCTTCATTCTTGTGACTTATAGTACTTGTTTTCAAGTTAAATGGATGATTTTTTAGCCTCGCCTATATTATTACTAAAAATATGAGATTGAATCGATCCTAATCAAGATTCTAACATTTCTAATATATGACAATTCATGTGGGCGCTTTTAGGAAACAATGATGTTTGTGTTTTGATTTTTTTATTTGTTTTATATATTGAAAATTTGATTTGACAAATCAAGTTAAAAGCTATATGTTTATTTATTCTTTATATAATTCTAATAATATTTATAAATTCATGTAAAATATAATAATATTCAATATTTGTATTGATTTGAAGGCATTAGTTAGATCTTTTTGATGATATAAATTCTTAAAAATTATATATATATATATATATATATATATATATATATATATATATATATATATATATATATATATATATATATATATATATATATATATATATATATATATATAGTTTTATAATATTTTTATAATAAAAAAGATTATATGTGAAATTTTAATAAAGATATAAAAAAAATTAAAAAGACCAAAAATATATTTTAAACATGTTATATACGATAAAGGGTTAAAGCTAAAAATTAGCAAAAAATCAATATACAAGGTAAATGGTTGAAATTGTAACATTGTATTATAAGCACCATTTCTGTAATTTTTAAACAATCAAACAAATATATGGGCCCTATTTTTACAAATCGTTTTCAAACAGCGAGAACAAAACATTTCCGAAACAGAACCATTTTTGCAAAAATCTCTCTATACATAATCTAAGATAAATCCTAGTGTGATGGGATTGTTTTTCTCGTTTTAGATCTTAAGATCAAGATACATGATTAACGTGTTGGATTCAAAATCTGTAAATGACTATATTGTTATGTATAGTTATCGTTTACTGTAGTAGAATTATTTTGGGACAATATCTTGATTAATTCAAATAAGCAAGAACACATGCTAACCCCACTTTACATGCTAGATACAAGTTGAGTTATGGTGACTAATTTTTAGTCCTATTTATGATCAAAAGACAAAGTACGCCTTCGTTGAATTCTACGTATCATTCACATATGGCCCCGCTATAATTATTTATTGGATAGGATACCAGACACTAAAATAACATTATCTCCATTCTTCTTACAATTACTTTTTGTAACAAAATAAACATGTTACAATTATCTCAAAAACAATAGTTACCAGTTCGATGTTACCATCGAGTGGGTCCAATTTTCTTACAAAGTTATGACTTTGAATCTAGCAGCCATAAACAAAAACCCAAAAACCAAGTCAAAATATTGTTCAAAGTCAAAGCTAATAATATTAGTTCAAAGTTATGCCATTGGTTCCTAACCAATATTAAAAAAAATAACGTATTATCATGTCCTCCCTACTTTATTATCATGTAGTTTCTAAAACAGATTATGTTCACTTTGTAGTTTTTCTTTTAGTTTGTCTTAGTTTTAATAGTTTAGTTTTAAAAATAAATATCATTTTTATCAAAACATTATTTATTATTAGTTAATCTATCATTGAATTAAAAACAAATACCATGGAATTAAATATAATAAAAAGATACAACTTTTATTTCATTTAGTAAAAATAATGTTTTCTTAATCTATATGTTTTTTTGTAATTGATAATAATTTTGGAACTGAAAGGTCGATTTAAATAATGTTTTTTTAGGAATAAATTATGTGACTATAGTTTTTTTTTTTTTTTATAAAAGTTTAACTAATCGAGTTATATGGTGATATATTCTCTACAAAATCAATATTATAATACTGATGTGTTATATTCTCTTCGCTTTTCAGCTGCATCAAATGGACAATTTTGTCCATGATGATGATCATGAAGTCATCATCTGCTCGCAATTATTTATAGAACACTAAATTCGATTTCAATTCGACACTATAAAACCCCACATCACCTCCTGTAACTTCAATCGTAGTCTTTCTTCTTAAGCTCCAATATTCTACAACGCCATGATGAACACCATTCCAGATGTCATTACTTGTAAAGGTACCTCTACCTCTAACTTCTGATTTCAAATATTTGAAAATGACGTTGTTGCTAACGGAATTGGCGGTGCAGCGGCGGTGGTACGGGAGATCGGCGGAGCAATCACGGTGGAGGAGATAAAGGTCGATCCACCAAAAGCATCGGAAGTCAGAATCAAGATGCTCTGTGCGAGTATCTGTCATACCGACATCCTTGCTTGCAATGGCATGCCCTTCGTAAGCCCCATTTTTGTATCAAGTTTTTGAATTAGATCATATTCTAATTTCGAAGTTCTAACCTAATTCAACATTTCAGCCTCTGTTCCCGCGAATTCCTGGACATGAAGGCGTCGGGTAGATATTTATGAATTGAGAAAGAAAAAAAAAACGATTTGATTGATTTATGAAATATGAATTGGATATAGACGATTGGTGGTTGCAGGGTGGTTGAGAGCGTCGGGGAAGGCGTGACGACGGAGGTGAAGCCTGGCGACGTCGTGATGCCGCTCTACATGGGTGAATGTGGACAATGCTTGAATTGCAAGTCCGGAAGGACCAACACCTGCCATGTTTACCCGATTACCTTGAACGGACTTATGGCCGACGGCACATCCAGGATGACCGTTGCTGCCACCGGAGAAGCCGCCTACCACCTTTTCAATTGTTCTACATGGTCGGAGTACATGGTGATCGACGTAAACTATGTGATCAAGCTTGATCCGAAGATTTCTCTCCCCCATGCCAGTTTGCTGTCGTGTGGCTTCACCACCGGCCTTGGTGCTCCGTGGAAGGAGGCTCCGGTCACTAAGGGCTCGTCTGTCGCCGTCTTTGGCCTTGGTGTTGTTGGCCTAGGGGTACGTTTCTTTATCATGAGGCTTTATGGTCAAAAGATTAGGGAAAAAACACAACGTTTTTATTTTATTTTTTCATTGTAACAATTTAATCATTAAATTAATAACAATTTATAATTATTATTATCATTACATCAATGGTTAGAACGATAAAGAATAAAATTCCAATGGCTAAATATATAAAATATGAAAATATGTTTTGTTTTATTGTATTTGTAGTTCATATATCGCTTTAGTCATCTAAATATTTTCTATGATGTTACACCATTATAATGACCATCTTTTTAAAAAAGTACAATACAAGACATTTCTTTTTATTTGATAGATTTTGTTGTTTGCTTATTATCTTCTTGCAATAATTACAAAATAATAGAATAAATTAATTAAAGTTTATATGATGAAAATAGCGTTGTGTTAGTTTTTTTTCTGTAGTTTTCGTTAATATAAAACAAAATAACTAAGAAAAAAGTTTTTCTACGATTTTGAAATATATAATGGTTTAATCAATGTAAAAAATAACTAATTGTTTAAATCAATGTGAAACAATAACAATATAAACTAGTTGTGAAACCCATGTAATATATTAGTTAATTAAAAAAAATGAATATAAAGGTAAAAATGTTTCAGAACTTTAAATTTATAAGAAAATAAGAAAAATAATGAATTATTATAATTGAAATGTTTTTTTATCTTTTAAATTTAAATAAATAAACAAAAAAACTAATTAACATTAATTTGAGAATTTTGAAATTAAAAAGTAAGTTTATTAATGAAATTGATATCCATTTATTACTACATTTATTGTAATTATTACATTAAAATATTATGTTGAAATTAATAAAATAAAAAAACTCATAAAATGACATGTAAAAAAATAATTAATCCAAAATAAACACAAAATGATATTTGACAAATAGAATGAGAGAGTGATATGTGACAAAAAAAAAAAAAAAACCCTTCATTTATTTAGGGTAGATGTTAATCTTTATTTTTCCCTTTCTTTTTACCATAAAAACCAATATATTTGGAACGTTTTTTAGGCAATAAAAGGAGCACAAATGCAAGGTGCATTGAAGATAATAGGGGTTGACATAAATGAAAAGAAGGCATCAAAAGGAAAAGTATTTGGAATGACCGATTTCATCAATCCTCAAAATCATCCTGATCGATCTGTCTCAGATTTAATAAAAGATATAACCGACGGGTTAGGTGTTGATTACTGTTTTGAGTGCAGTGGAGTTGAGCCCTTGTTGAATGAAGCCATTGATGCCTCAAAAATTGTACGCACGATATGATCCGAAGCTTTGTTAATGATTATTTTTATAATTATTTATGGGAAGATACGTAAAAATTAAAACAAGAAAATTATAGCAATAAAGATTTATTATATGCAGGGAATTGGTACGACTGTAGCTATTGGAGTTGGGCTAGAGACCAATTGGGCCATTAAGAACTTATCATTATTGAGTGGTCGGACCTTGAAGGGTTCACTAATGGGTGGGGTTAGGACTCATTCGGATCTTCCCATTATACTCAACAAATGTGTTAATAAGGTGACAAACAAACTATTTAT